TTCCTACGATAACGTTTACATTATCATTAAATTATATCGAGACATTTTCATGCATCGATACGTATAATTCTGTTGATTTTTTACGTTCTCTGCATCACATTTGCAGTCTGATATTTTTGCAATCACGAATTCCCTTTATTATTTCTTGCTGGCCGCAGTCTGTCTTTCACAGAGAGTGACCCGGAAGAGATTCCTTCCTGCTCGATAAGCCCAATTTTTTTCCACCGAACGACGGAAGGACAAACGATCGTAAACCCTCCTCGTCGAACTCGCCGGTTCATCTCTTTCCGTTAGCCTTTCTCTCTCTCTCTCTCTCTCTCTCTCTCTCTCTCTATCTATCTATCTATCGATCGATATTACTATCGAGCTTTTCTCTCAGAGTGTCTACCTCCGCCTCGGCAGATTCCCACAGGAGAATTGGGTCGTTTCGGGTAAGGCAAAGGCGGCTCGTTATCCTGAAAGTCTTCCGAAGACTATGTAACGGGTAGCTCCTTCACTCGACGGAAACCTTGGTAGCGCTTCCTGTCGGTAATATTTAACAATTTCTACCTATCACCCGGATTTTATATAGACTCCAACTTTTCACGTCGCGATAATTCTCCCTCTTTACGATTTTATCGAGCAACCAGACTTTACCGCAGTCTTACGCATCGAGGAAACTTTGATGCTATTGTGGCTACGGAATTTTCAAGTGAAGGAGAATAAAGCACAAAATTACGACCCACTCCGAATTTGTGGATATTGTACTTACTTAATTATAAGTTTCTGTGTGTTTCTACTTTACGTTTCTGCTTTACAAATAAGACACAAATAAAACAGAGTAACAATAAATCTCACGTATAAAGGAATAAAAAAAAGTTTATTTTTTAATATCTTGTTTACATTAATTGAATTTTACTATATAATTCATATTATTCCATAATATAATTTTCAATTAGCTTTTAGCTCTTTAGTTGTGTTACGTGAAGGAAAATTTGAAACACGATATTTTCACATGTTATAAAAATTTCTATACGCTTCGCGATCCTACGACGTTCACCAGCATGTGGTTTCACGCAGGTATTATATCAGATTTTTTTTAACGAGTAACGCGAGATCTCACATAGATCCAGGGATATGGCCGTTACTATATAACGCGCGTTATACCGTGGAACGAAAATCCTTATCTCCGCGATAGCCCTGCTTTTCAATGACAACCGTGAATGGCGAACATATGCGGAAAACATAAAGAGGATTTCGTATTTACACGAATTTTGCGTCGGGTACAGTAGCCGGAGATAAAGGCTACCTAAAAGATAAAAAAACTGCCTTCATTTCATTAATGCTTGTCGCGTTATTCTCTTGGACTAAGCCAAACACGATATTAAGAGGACATGAACGTGGAGAACATGGAGAACAAAAATAAACGAATGTGCATATGTCGAAAAGGCAAGTGTGAAAGGCTTTATAATCGCAGCAAAGAAAATCTATATTTGTTCCTTCTTTTGTAAAGAATATTAATATATCATATCTTGCATTCCGAGCTGTTAAAATATATTATGTAATTTTTAATTTTTTAATTTCAACAACACAATCTGTGAATTCCTAAATCTTGTATGACACAATAATCATACAATAATTATTTAATTATACTAAGGACAGAATAATTAAAATATTGAATATCGCTTGTATAATTTCATATATATCGTTATTTAATGTATATTTATATGTATATCAATATTAATTGTTCAGGTAAACAAATATTCTGTCCAAATTATTTGAAGCGCGATTGTTGCATAAATAATAGTGAGAAGGCTCAATCTAAATAATTGGAGAAAACAAAACTTGTTATAAGTTCAATATTCCAAAACTTCGTATTCTCACACGTATTATACATTTCTTGCTATACAGCCTGGGCATGACTGTTTTGCAATGCATGGCCCGTAAAACGATGATAGAGATCATCATCCTGTCACCAAAATATCCTCGAAAAGGGACGGATACGCAACCTTTTCTAAATGCGGCATTACAGTTATGATGAGTATGCAGCATGCAGCAAACAGACGAGTATCTCGAGCGGGAAATCATTTGGCAAATAGCCTCTAAGGGCGCTTTCAGCAGTAACAGAGGTGCTTTTGAGCGAGTAATGTACAGCCAGTATGTGCAAATGGTCAAGCATTATCCAGTCTCTCTTTGTTCGCGGTGAGAGACAGAGATTATCCGCGTGGCGTCAAGAATAAGAAAACTGATATATATTATAGCTAATGTCTTATAAAAATTATTAATTACCTTTACATTAATATTTATAATTCTATATTCCTAAATTATCACACAAATTTTGTATAGTGATGTTTCCTATTGAGCAAGACTATTTTTCTTCGATAAAATTATTATAGAAACACGTACGATTATCTCATAAAGATATAAAACGTTGACTTCTACACACGTTAAGATACGATAACTTTCATCAGGCACGCAAATCGCAAACTCGATTGCGAATGAATTCAAGTGCTTGATTTCGCGTCGGTCGGTGAACGAGTCGTCGGCGCCACGTATTTCATCTCATTACTCAATTCGTAATTGTCGACGCAAACGGACGATGTTCATCGCAAGGATCAAAGGACGCCCGATAGCGCCGAGCGGCGCGGAGAAGCGAGACGTCGACAAACAGAATACGTAACTATTGATTTTCGCGAGAGAAGAGCAAATGATGAATATTAGTCTCTCCCTTACCCTCTCGTCTCTTAGCTTATGAAATAAGTGGCGTCGAATGCGAGTTGCAACGCTACGTACGAATAAGCACATCAAAGGATAATTGGCCAGACAGCCAGGTTTATGCGGCCGCGAATTTCAGAGAAAGAGAGATAGAGATAGATAGATGGAGAGAGAGAGAGAGAGAGAGAGAGAGAGAGAGAGAGAGAGAGAGACAGAGCCCATAATTTTTTCCTAAACGACGTTTTCTCCCTTTTTCCGTGTGTCCCATCGAAAAATAAAAACTGCTCTGTCAAAGGATACATAATTTGATATCATCGCGTTCTAATGGACCATTTATGCACACGCCTAAAGTCGTTACAGCCGTAGCTTTAATAACTTGCTTCGTATCTTGTTCCCTACAAATTCTACAAAATTTTCTACCATGCATTTGTCATTCATTAAATGATCAGATACCAATCGACTTGAGAGTCAACAAGAAATAATTTTATTTATAATAATCTGTGTGTTTGTTATATATATTTTTGCGTTCTTTCATCTGACAATGAGAAACTGCATTTATTTACACCATTAACTTTATACCAGCAAGATTAGTGGAACGTATTACTATTACTAAATAAAGTAAATAGTAGAGGAGCACTGCTGTTAAAAATGATTCGAGAAAATGTATATACTTAGCGCTTCGCTGAGAATCCGCGTAATTTTATGAAAAAGATTTTGTAAAAAAAAAATAAGACAGTTACTAAAGCAGAATTTCGAAAGAAACTTTTAGAGTGGCTTTTTAGACGCCATGACCAATGCGCCGCGTCACCCTGGTACAAGTGTTCTTGCAATTGTACGAGCCGAAGTTGTGATACGAGACGTAACGCATTTTATTTGAGCGAATAATGCGAGCGAGGGTAATCGGTCCCCTTAATTGGCCGTCGAGATCGACGAAGGAGTCGGAGAATTTCTTTCTTCTGAGATGGAAAGGAAAGACGGCGAATGAACAGTCGTTTTCCCTTCGCCAAAGTGGCCGTCGTTCCCGCGCGATCGTTAAGCTCTGGCCAGCTTAAAGTCTCCCATGGGGATAAGGCGATATCACGGCGCAGATACGTACGTACCGTATGTCGCTCTCTTATTTTTCGTAGCCGTTGTTTACGTAACTCGCACCGAAAGCAGGACAAATCGCTTGCGTTTCCACAAATGGCAAATCCGACAAATCGCGGCGCGCCATCTCATTTAAAAGATACAGGGAGTTCATACGCTTCTTTCATGATACTTATTGAATCGTTTACGGGTTATATAAATACGTACAATGAATTTCAGGTGTGTTGGATCACGTTGTAGAACGTTTGAACGTGATATTTTACTTAATCTACTGCACTTTTATGTAAAATTGAAGATAAATTATTCATCTATATCTATTTTATGTATGATAAAATGTCCCAGTTTAATGCATATATGTTGCAAAAAATATGTGGAAAATACTATAATTTTTATCTTTGGAAACATAATGTATATGTAATAATTTAATTCGACATTAATTTACTTATAACAGAAATTATTAAATGGAAAAATTTGTAGAGAGAGATCTTTGCAATTATAATCGAGAATCAACCGGCTTTAAAATCAAGATCGCGGAGAGTTACGTAAGAGGTAGACGCACGAGGAAAGCGACGAGAAGGCTGTTGTTGCCGAATCCAAAGAGAGAGCGGGTTACTCACCTCTTCGGCGTTAATTTCGTCGCTGCCCCGCCGCGCGCCGATGCGAAGGGGCGAAAACGGATGCCAGCGGCATGACGACGTTCACGGAAAGCGGTGAGTCGGGATATCGCGATGAGGCTTCTCTCTCCCGCGCGCGTCTCTTCATCTTCGACTCTTACGGAGATTAGGTCAAACTATAAATACGCGAGGCGCCAATCTGACCGAGCCGGACCGAAGTAACCGGACGCGAAACGTCGTCGTTCTCTAACCGCCTTGCATAACCGCGCGAGAACGTCTTTATGAATGAAGCGGAACGAGCGCAATGACATTTTCGTTTGCTTCAAGTTCGAACATTTCCTAATAACCGTGTCGCATTCTCAATCAAAAGAAAAGTGGTGCGAAATGTTTCTAAAAAAAAAATCCGCAAGGAGTATCTAAACATGCGCCGAGATTGAGATATAAAAATAATTATTAATATTTTTTTCTAATTTTGTCTTAATATTATATTGTGATTAAAAAGTCCTAAATTTTGTTTCTCGATTAGAAGTACTAATTCTAGTACTGCTATAAATTTTCGAGTAAAAATAAAAACTCGCGTTCGGAATAATCTTATTAGATAAATACCTCGAAGTCCTGCAGCCGCTAAATTTTACGTGGAAGTCATATGCAGCAACAGCTTCACTGCCAATGTCTCCAAAATATTTTCCATGGTCGCACTTCTGAAAATCAAACAATAAAGAATTTGTCAAGTTTTAAAGTTTATTTTCGTATATGCATATGTTACAAAAGATACAAGTCAAAATATACAGTGTATTGTCCAAATTTTCTCAACTTATAATATCTTTGACAGAACTACGATTCAAATCAAAATAGCTGTTGATCAAGTTATCGTATTGATATTCTACTAATTTCTCATTAAATTCAAGGTTATTTAAATAAAAACGTCCAAAAAAAGTCTGCTTCTTAGCTAAAGAAATATTTCTTAGCTCATATCGCAATTACAATATTATATAGACTTTGCAGATAGTCTGGTTACGTAAAAGGTGTCACGTTTGAACATTCCAACATCCAGATCTGAGATCATAAAAATAGTAAACAACGATGCTGACTATATTTTATCACAAACCACCTCGTTCGTCGGTTCCGCTAACGAAAATGAGAAAAACCTTGCACACAGTCCATTTTAACTTGTTGAAATGTATCTGTACCCATTATATCGTGTGCACAATGGTTCGCAACTCTGTTTAATTTAGTAAAATTAACTTCATCGTGCATCTAAAACGAACCACCAGCAACGTAGACATAATTATTGCTATCTATAGTACAATACATAACCGTATCTAACTACTGTTATTCAGTTTAAAAATTGCAGCATTATTTTCAGTGTTTTGTATGCGCAATCTGTTCTGTGCAAATAGCGACAGGATAATAAAATAATATAAATTCATATGTTCTACCCATTGTACAACATTTAGATCAAGGATAAAATAAAATTAAAAACCATTGTTTTTTTTTACACTTTTGTTTCACTAATAATGCGATTGAAAAATTTAGTATAAAAGTTAAATATTATATTTTTTTATATAAAATAAGTTTATACATAATGAACAGTCTCGTTTCATTAGCAGAATAAAAGTAAATAAAATTTGTAGTTCGCAGTTTATAAAATTTTTGCGGCAGTTTATAATTCCTCACTTTTCAACTAATACGATGTAAACCTCACAAATTACATCCTCGAATCTTGCATTTAATTTTCCGTCACTTACTCGATACGAATAAACAGTGAATGAGACTAAATTGGCAAGTAGTTGCCCAGTAAACGACGCCACGGCAAGGATTGAGGTATGAGAAATTCGCTTGGAGCTTAAATTGTCGTCAAAGTCGTTCCCCTGCGAGCGCAGATACGTGAGTTACTTAACGAATTAGCCATTCGGCGAGAGAGGAACGTCTCTCTGCGGATTTAATATCATCCGTCTTCGTGCGCGTCGAGGACATTGCTCGAGTGACGAGTTGCTTAATGATTTATTAGCTAAACCGTCTCGTAGGCGACCCTACGCGCGAGAAGGAACCTCGTTCCTCTCTGTATTTTACTGCGGCGACGAATATACATAAGCATTATGCGTAATGAATTTTAATTAATTAATGACATAGGCACATCATTTCCTCGCAGGTATTGTATATATGTATAATTAATGTTACAGCTATTGTATATGGAAAACGTGCACGAAATCGTTTGGTAAATCCTACATATGTCCAAGTCATCATTCATGCTTTCAAGACGTGTCGTTTTAATAATTGTCACAATAATTAAGCGTCAGCGCGTACGCGACACTTAAGTCAATTTTATTCGTGTAACATTTTTGCCGGATTAACATAGTTCTGTCCTTTCAATTTGCGCAATTCACGCAAGTTCGTGAACTGAATGTTCGGATGTTCGCAACAGTTCTCACTGGTAGTAGTCCACAAACGTTACTTTGACTAACAACTTTGACTAGGTATGTCATGACTGCAGAAGTAATTTTCCACGACTACGAACTGTATAATGAGAATTTGAGTTCACGTTCTCGTCAAGAATAACTCGCCAGTGGACAAGGGAGCTTTATTAGAACCGTCATTTGGAAACTAAACGCCGCACAAGGCAATTATTTTCAAGCGATACTTTTTGCAAGGATAGATTGGTCTTAATTAATAGACACATCCTTATGATATAAAGTCGAACTCTTGTAGATAAAAATTTGATGACTGTATGTTACTTTTATGCGCTGCATTATCATTAACAGTGTATAATACGTTTGCGCCGTGGCATTTGTGCAGCCACTTCTAACTCGTGCAGGGGTGCAGAGTGCGCAGCGTGAAAAACAGAACGCAAGAAGTGCTATTACGTTTCTTATCGCGAGAGTACACTTGACCTCGCGAAGCTCGCGCCTGTGATCTCGTGACTTTGTAAGAAAGCTTGACAAATTGCAGTCGCGCCTTAAAATCGTCGCCAGTCGCCACAGATTTTACCTAAAAGTCACTTGCTTTTGCGCGGTGGCACCGCATGGCCGTGAGCATCATCCTCTTGCCAGTCTCGAGTCTCTTATAACGTGTACTTAACCGGCATGCATGCTGAAGGACTAACAACAATCGGTACCGCGAATAGAACGGAAAATGCAGGCGATGCTGAAGAGCTGTATTCGTACCGTCTGACGCACAACTGGGTTCTCGATTTATTACTGCACTGCTCTTCATATGAAATAAAAAACTCACCCAACCACTGCCTCAATAGAAATAATGATTCAATTTTAAAAGACAAAGCATAAAGTTTAAATTGTAATTTTGTAAAACTACAGTTTATATTCACGGCGTAACCGTAATGAAATTAAAGTGCTACATTTAGCGTGAAAAGATCGCAATATTTTGTGTATTAAATACTGAACAAATGAATTAAATAATAAACTGGAGAACGCGTTTTCATGCAATTCGAATTACAAATGATATTATATTATTCGCGTTAAGCTGGGCAAAATGAAAAATGCAAAAAGTTTTACGTGCATATATATCCCGAAACAAATCAGTCGAAATGAATACTTCCAATATTTTTCATTAAATTAATTTCCACAAAGAACGAAACGCAGGATGTGCACGTATCTATCCCGAGATTACAGAGTTCATCAGCTATAAACAAAACTCCGTTATCTATATGAACCCCTGCGCAAGATGTGAGGTAACAAAGCGTTCTAATCCTTCCACGCCGCTTGTTCGATGTTTGACTTTTAGCTTGAAAAGCCGCACTAACGAAGTCCTCGCGACTTCTAAACTGAGTCACGGTCTGAAGGATCCTCGTAGATGAGAAAGTGACTTCGTCCCTCGGCGAAACAAACGAACCATGCACGAACACTCGCTAATTCAACGACATCCACTGCAGTAGTATGGTGTGTGTCAGGGAAAATTTGGAAAATTATTCTTTCCGAAAAATATTTAACGTTTTAAAAATGTTTAAAAAACCACACACATATACACATTATCAAGTATAAAATTCTCTTTAAGTACTATTTTTTACAGAAACGATATCTTAGTAAAAATACATTTTGTTATTGCAAAATAGCAATAGTGATAAGTAAGCAGAGTTTTCTTTATACTGAAGTTTAAAATGTAATTATAAATTATAATTATAAAATAATTATAAATGTAACTAAACAAGTATCCTTTTCTCAAAAATATTTCTCAGTTACTTTTAAATATTACTTCTCAGGCAGCAATATAATTTTTATTTTATTCTCAGGTAACATTGTAAATTCGATTTCGGATTATCCAACTGCGTTGAGTGAGAACCGGTAACTGCACCCTGCTTATCCCAGCTAAACATATCTTCAGTATCCATATTTTTATGGCAATCGTTACACGCGTAAGAAATATCGCATGTCGTTTCACGTTCGCGGCGTTAAAAATATGAGCCGGGTTTCGAGTTTCGATTACGAACGGATTCGAGAGAGAACTACGCGGCTTTCCGATCGAATCTGCGAAACAACGCGAACGCGCGATTCCGTGGGCACGTTCAGATCCTACGTTCGGATTCTGCAGTTTGCGTGCGCTGCGGATTCGCGTGTGTATGTACGTAACTCAGTTAGCTACATTGGAAATTACAGCCGGTACACGATATTACATGCACCGCTCGTGCACGCGGGTCCATTTATATTCACGCTCGCGCCGCTCCGCGAATAACTCCTATATTCCCACGTGGCGCGCGATTCCACCACGTGTGTTTGCCGCACGCGCGCTGATGCCGCTGATGCTCACGTACGATGCGTCGTACGGATGATGCGTCGATGCGCGCGGTGCACCGTGCCTTATGAATATTGGACGGCCGATCGAGAGAAATTCGCCATTTGTCGTTTCGCGTCGCGTAGGACGCGAGATCCGCTCTCTATCCGTCACACACGGCGACGAATCATGGAAAAATATGCATACTTGATATCTTATCCGCTGTATATCCCCGCTCTCTTAGCAAATTTAATTCAAGGAATAAAATGAATAAAAAATTGCATTCACACTCACCCGCGCGCGTGTATATATATATATATATATATATATATATATATATATATATATGTTACAGAGTATATATGTAGAGAAATTATTTTTCTGCAAAAGAATAGAACGAATTATGATATAAAAAAAACATAAGTACATAAACATAAAGTATGTTACGAGATATTTAATATGACGTACAGTGAATTAAATTTTCATGCGTATAAATCCTCTGACGTAGCTCTTGATATAATAACAAAATGGGAATTGTACGGATTCTCGCGAGCGAGCATCGTTTCCGCTATATATCTTTGGATCCGTAAAGAGGCCAAGTGTTAAAACAAGCGATTATGTTACCGACTATGACTTTCGCATGACCGGATTGCATGGTTCCCGTGTGCATGTGCATACGTTATATATAGGCGGCTAGAACGTTAGTCCCGCGCCTCGCGCCGCAGCGCAGAATGGAGTTAAATGTGCCGTGCATAAGTGGGTAACGTTTCCGAAGCAGGGCTGTGCAACCACCCGCGCCGTTTCCTCGCTCCGCGCCATCCCCTGCACTTGCTTCTCCTTCTGTCTTATTCCCCCTCCCCGACTTTGTCGCGGCCCTTTCGTCTTTTTCTCATGCCCGCTTTACGCTTCCGTTCGCCCCCATCCTCCCGCTTCCACCTCGCACCTGGCTAACGCCAGGATACTTTAGCCACCCCCC